CAATGATAGCCTTTGCTGGAGAGGTTGTGGAGAAAGGGGTACACTCATCCATTGCTGGTGGGAATGCAAACTTGTGCAACCACTCTGGAAAGCAGTGTGGCGGTTTCTCAGGAAATTCGGGATCAACCTACCCCTGGACCCAGCAATACCACTCTTGGGAATATACCCAAGAGATGCCCTATCATACAACAAAAGTATATGCCCAACTATGTTCATAGCAGCGTTGTTTGTAATAGCCAGAACCTGGAAACAACCTAGATGTCCTTCAATGGAAGAATGGATGAAGAAAGTATGTTGAACATTTTAAAAAAATACTTATTAGGTGATGGGTGCAGTGTCATACGACTTTAATTCTATCACTTGGGGGCAGAGACAGGTTAACCTTTGTGAGTTTGAGCTTCATCTACAAGCAAGTAACAAGCCAGCCAGGGCTGTAACAGTGAGACCCTGTCCCAAAAATCAAACAAAGATAAACCAAAATATTATAAAACACAGAAATGTCTATTAACCATTTGTATTTCTTCTTTGGGATCTCTCTTCAGTTCTATGACCCATTTTTTGATTGAGTTATTTTCTTGGTGTTTCATTTCTTGAGTTCTTTGTATGTTCTAAATACTTAATCTTCTATCAGATACATAGCTGGCATTCTCTGGGCTGACTCTTGACTTAAATGAGAGTTTCCTTTGATAAACAAAAACTGGGGAGTTTCATGAAGTTTTAATTGTTGGTTACATGACTGTATTTCTTGAGCAATCACCGTTCTATCCTGAAAACCCTTAAAAGTGTATTCTATGTTTTTTTCTCTTGCAGCTTTTGATCTTAAGTTGAGGTTCTTGATCCGTTTGTAGTTGCTTTTGTTCTTTTAGATATATAGATTCATTTTTCCCAGTGCCATTTTTGAAGATGGTATCTTTTCTCTAGTGTGTATTTTTGGCATCTTTATCAAAAATCAGGTGGCCTTGTATCTGTGTCCTGTATTATTTTTTGTTGATCAATATGTCTTGATTACTGTGCTCTGTAGTGTGATGAGATCAGGATGATGAGAATCCTTTAGCAGCATTATTTTTTGCTCAGGCTTGTTTTTCCTCTCTAGGATCTCTTGTGATTCCACATGAACTTAAAGATTGCTCTGTTTTTGTGAAGAATGCCACTAGATTTTTTTATTGGAATTGCTGTCAATCTATAGGTTTCTTTTAGTAAGTAAGTCATTTTCACAATACTGATTTTTTTCTAGTTCATGAGCATGGGATATGGGAAAGAAATTCTTCCTCAATTTCTTTCAGAGTTTTCAGTTTTTATTTATGTGAGGTAGGGAGGAGAGAGATGACTTTTATATTCTTGATAGGTTTCTAACAGGTTTTTTGTTGTTGTTGTTACTGTTATTGTTACTTCTTTGTTTTTTAAGGCAGGGTTTAATCTGTGTAGTCCTGGCTTTCTTGGAACTCCCTTTGTAGACCAGGCTGGCCTCAAACTCACAAAGATCCACCTGCTTCTGCTTCTGAGTGCTAGGATTAAAGGTGTATGCCACCATGCGTGGCTAACAAGTTATTTTTTAAAGATTATCATGAATTAGATTATTCCCCTTTGCCTTTCCATTTTCATTAGTATCTAGGAAGACTGATGATTTTGTGTGTTAATTTTGTATGTTACCACTCTGCTGCAAGTATTTGTCAGTTCTAAGAGTTTTCTTAGGATCTCATATGGAACCTTAACATCTACAAGTGGTGCTGCTTTGACTTCCTTCTAATTTGTCCCCTTTTCCTTGTCTTCTGCTCTAGCTAAGACTGCTAGCACTGCAGTGGATGAGAACAAAGCAGTTAAACATCCTTTTCTTGTTCCTGATTTCAGTGGGCATGCCTGGGTTTTCCCCCATTTCACATAATGTTGGTTATAGGTTTGTCATATATGCTGAGCTATGTTCTTTCTACTTTTAGCTCGCTTGGTCTCTCTCTGTGTCTGTCTGTCTGTCTCTGTTTTTTGAGGCAGGGTTGCTTTGTGTAGCCCTGACTGTCCTGGACCTCACTCTGTAGATCATGCTGGTCTCAAACTCAGGTCTGCCTGCCTCTGCCTTTCCTAGTGCTCTGAGTTTCTTTGGGACTGTTAACATGAAGGGATGTTGAATATTGTCAAATTCCTTTTCTTCATCCATTGGGGTGACTAGGTGATTATTATGTAATTTATAGTATTCACTGATTAAACCATATTAGACTATCTTTAGAGTAAACCCAATCTGATATTTTCTTGAAGTCAGTTTGTACCTTTATCATATATGTATGTGTTCATTTATGTATGTATATATCACATATAATAATGGCACACATATGGAGATCAGAGGACAACTGTGTGAGTCAGTTCTCTCTCTCTACTTTGTAGGTCTTGGAAATTGAACCCGGGTCATCAGGTTTGGTGGCAGTTGCTTTTATCCATTGAGCCATCTCATTGACCCAGGTGTAGCTGGCTTAAAAGGAAAAATTTTATTTGTGTAATTAAAACATGAGTTAATTTAAAAGTACAGCCTTAGCTCGAGGGAAGGGTAGACATGGGGAACCAGAGGCTAGTGTTTGGAGTGGGGACAGCTCTAGTGTGAGTCAGTATGTACAGTGATGAGAATACAGCTTTGACACATAGACACAGGAAGCAAGCAGGATATCTACAGCCAGACAGGAATAATGTGGATGGGTGACACAGCAGCACAGCTGTATAAAGAATCCTCCAAAGGAAGGAGTCCCTCCCACAGGCCTTAGCCTAAGTACACTGAGTGTGCTGCAGAAGGCTGTCACCAGACATCCCCTGTGTTAACTAACCCCACTGTCCTAACTGCCTCAGAATCTGCCAGGACCAGTGCCAAGTTGGGATGTTTCCTACTACCTGCTTACTTTTCTGTGCAACACGGGACAGAATAAGCAAATGGAGTGCTGCCAGCCAGCCTTACAGAGGGGGAAGCAGCTTTGACCCTTCTGAGAAAGAAGACATTGGGAAAATACTGATGTGGGAGGATGGATACATTGGGAAAGAGGAAATGACAGAAGCTCAAATAACTGAATTTTGTTGGGATAGCTGGTAGAGCTCAGGGGGTCATTGAGATGGGTTCTTCATCCTGGGCAGCACCTCTGAAAAAAGCACAGCAGTTAAGGATGTCAGTGATATGCATAGCATGCGATCACCATGAGGGATCCTGAAAAGATAAATATAGCCAGGTGATGTGAACTCTTGAGTGTTGACTACTGATTGAGCAGAACAATAGTTCTATAACAGTAGCCAGGCAGTGGTAGCACTCGCCTTTAATCCCAGCACTCTGGAGGCAGAGGCAGGCGGATCTATGTGAGTTCGAGGCCAGCCTGGTTTATAAGAGCTAGTTCCAGGACAGGAACCAAAAAGCTACGGAGAAACCCTGTCTCGAAAATTTAAAAAAAAAAAAATGGTTCTGAGATTGTTCTTCTTACTGTGATTTGTCGGATACTACTTTGGAAGTGTTTCCTTTGTTTGTTCCTTTAGTTGCAAGGGAAAAAGGAAGAGCTGGGCCCTAATGTCCACTGTGGCTAATATCTATCCTATTGGTGTATAATAGATTATCCTGTTGGTAAAATAGATTATCCAGATCGCCCTCTGATAAGTGAGCTATGGGCCAGACCCTGTGAGCTGTACCTGGAACTGCCTGATAAACCATGACCCCCTCCCTCCCTTTTATCTGTGATAAGCTGTTCCAGACAATCCCAGAGCACCAGGTGTTGTTCCCCAGGGTCCAAATATACATTGTTTTTCTGATGGTTATCTCATTCCTCAGTTGTAAACACTGCTATGTCAGGGTGCTGCTCAGAGGCCACTTGGAGCACATAGATCGTATTTATTTACTTATTTATTTTTGTTAGCAGAATTCGGAAGCTTCACATTGGGCTGCAAAGCCAGGGTTTGAGCCAGCAGCTGGAGAGAGTCCAGGACTGGAGTGTTTGGGGATTTGGGGTGGAGAGCAGAGGGAGAGAGGGAGTGGCAGGAGGGCAGAACAGTACAAGCAAGCAATCCACATTGCTTTGCCTTTAGCTTTGCTATCAGCAGAGTAGACTTCAGTTGTGCTAAAGGATCACCTGGCCACGTTGCCGAGACTGGAGGGAGGGCGCTGCCTTACAACCCTGAATTAACCATATTGCACCGGACTATTCCAAGTAGCTCCCGTTCTCTTTCCCTTGGAGGCAAGTCTCCTCCCAGTCCCCTCCTGCTCCTCCCCCGTTCTGTGAGAGATGATGCGGTTCTCCATCGCTAGGCTCTGCCGACTGATGTCACTGGCAGCGGGAAGCATCAGCAGCCTGATCACATGCTACCTAGTCTGTAATGCAGATGGGATGGGGGGGGGGGAAGGGGCTATATGGCAACTATTCTTGTTTGAACGCCTGCAGAAGTACAGATGCAGCAGCTGCAGCATCCAGCCAGCTTGGATGTCTTGCCTCTGAACCTGGGGGAAACTATTACTGGTGATATTTATTGTTGATAGTGTTGAGGGGAAACAACCCTTAACTCTAGGGGTTTGTTTTGCTGTTCTTTCCAAAGCAGACTTCCAGGACTCTGAAGAAGCAGTTACAAGCAGGATGCTTTTTCCCACCTCTGCGCAAGAATCTCCCCGTGGCCTTCCAGATGCAAATGGCTTGTGCCTTGGCCTGCAGTCACTCAGTCTGACTGGCTGGGACCGACCCTGGAGCACTCAGGACTCTGACTCTTCAGGCCAGAGCAGCACACAGTCGGGTGAGTGCAAGGGAATGGGACGACTGGCTGGGGGAGGGGGGCAAATGGGGTAGTGAGCTAAGATACCAAAGCAACAGTTGTTCTGTTCCCCCTTTGCATCACTCCCCTATATACACGCTATTTTGCAAGCGATGGTAGCTGTGAGTGTTGCAAGACAGATAGATCGCTGCTGGCAAAGGCAGATGCAGCTTTTCTAACTTGCCCTGGCAAATTCCCTGGAGTTATTAGTCTACACCTGAGGTGGCCCTGACAAGGGTCTCCAAGGTTACAACCTTTTGCAGATATGATCCATCTAAGCCCCTGGTGCCCAGGCCTCTTAGAGATGATGAAGCAAAACACTTTTAGGTGGGGGAGGGGACTTAAGAGACTGATGGCTGGATGACCAGATTCTGTTCAGTGGTTTTAAAACTGGAGAGCTATATGTGACAGTTGGGTAGCCCTGAGTCATAGCAAAGATGATTATCTGAGCAATTTTATTTGAATTAATATTAGGATCGCATTAACATTAGGTTAAGAGCATCAATCCTGGAAAGGGGCTGACTAGGAAGAGGGTAGGGTAACTCCCATTTATAGAGAAGAGGAGGAGGTAGGTGGTCCTCTCCTCTCCTCCAGCCCTGCCTTGTCTGTTTGTTGAAGGTTACTAATAGATGAGGGGCCACTTCCCTTTAGGATCCTTTGTCTTCTGGGTTTCGAATTATTGAGAACGGATTACAGGGAGTTCTTGACATACCTTTGAACTACTTCTGGTGAGACCTTCCCATTGCGTGTTTATTCCCTTCTTGTGATTGTCCAGGAAGAATCGCGAACTTAAATGCTACAGTATTACTCAAGATTAATATATTTTACTTTAAATTGTGTAATAATACAAAAGTATTAGCAGCTTCTGTAGGAAAAGGGGAAATGGGGGAGTGGGGGTACCTGTAGGCACTGCCCTTGCTGCTGGCAGTGGAGCACACTAAGCTGCTGTCCTTTCGGATAACCTCCCCAGTCTAGGACCAACAGTCCTGACAGCAAGGTGCTGCTATGTTGATTTCTCTGGCCTCCACCCTATTTGATGCAGGTGTTTTTTGTTTGTTTGGGGTTTTTTTTCCCCCCTTTGGTTTTGTTTTGTTTTGTTTTTACAATGCTTTGCAGAGTCTGGAACTCTTAATATCTGTTAAACATTTTAATGCCCATTTACTTTGGTAAAATGCTTTGGAGAAGAGGAAAGTTTTTTTTTTTTTTTTTTAATTGGCTTGTGGGCAGGATCGCTTGAAGGTAGAGTTATCTTGAGTGCCACCTGTTTTTTACCTAACGCCAGCTTTTTTGGAAAGGTTGATCACTATCCTGTCTCCTAGACCAGGAAATGTGTCACCATTCAATGTCCTTTGCTTTAGAGGCCACATTACGTTTTTTTATCTGTTCTTTGAAACAAGCCTTGTCCTTTCTTTACTCCCATAGTATCTGAGCAAAAGAAGAACTCACAGGAGAGATGAGCACCTGTGTGTGGTCATCAGTGTCTGATTTGTGCTGGCATCAGATTGGGGTGTGGCCCTTCTTTGGCTCTTGTTTCTCTTAGCTACAAAGTTAGCTTCTAAAATAAAACTTCAGGCCCATAGAAATTTAGATGTGTCCATCTTGAGACTTTTAGAGCCTGCTCTAACAACTAAACAGTGAGGTGATTGCTCAGGAATGAGCTGCGCAGTGTAACTGCAGGACCTTGTCTCATGAAAGCAAGAAAAGAAGAAAAGTTGGGTCTAGGCATAATTCTCTCAGCTTTCCCACTCTCTAAAGAACCTAGTCTTACAGCTGTTGGTCTCGGGGCGGGGGGGGGGGGTTCTTCACTTTCCATCTCAGCACTTTAGTGATAAATATTACATCATTTTGTGAATCAGGGAAGGAATGCAGTCTGAACTTCTGAATTTTTGAAGATCTGAGACTGGCCCCAGTATAATGATCTGCCTGTGAGGGCAAGGTTACCATGGGTAATCTCTTGCTTTCTGGGGCTCAAAGACACACCCATCCCTCATCTCCATGCTGTGTTTTCCTTTAGGAGCTGTGATGGTAGCCTCCTTTCCCTAAGCTTTGTGCCTTCCTGGAAAGCCCATATGAGGGTGCCATCTCCTAGAGTAGGATGGAGCCCTCCCACCAACCAGCTGCAGTTCCAGATCGTGCACCCTTGCCAGTAATGCAGGAACACTCAGCCCACATTCCAGTGCCCACACTGCCTTCCCATCTGAAAGCCGACTACTCAGTTTCTTGAGGCAGGGAGGAGATAGTTCAGTAGCTTTAGGAAATCGTAGTTATACTTGAAAGCAGCTTGGTATCCTACTGTATCTGTGTGGAACCTGGGTGCAAGCTTATTGCTTAGATTCTGGTCAGTTTTACTTTCTCCAGTAAGTTTTAGCCTCAAAACTCACTGACTTTACCACTTTGAAGTATTTGACAGTGCATTGGGCAAGGTTGGAGAATAGGGCTCATGACAGAAAATCTTGAGTATAAATTCACTCAGTAGACATTAAGCACCAGCTATATGCCAGGACCTGTTTAGGGCACTGAAGCTGCATCAGTGGATAGGATAAAATCATTGTCATTAAGAATCTCTAGGGCTGATAAGTTGGCTCAGCAGGAAAGGGTGCTTGCCACAAAGCCTGACAACTGAGCTTAATCCCTGGGACCCACATCGTAGAAGAGAGCCAACTCCCAAAAGTTGTTTTCTGACCTACACACACATGTATACATGGGCACACACAGAAGAAATAAATGGAATTTGAAAGTTTTTTAAAAGAAAATTACCATGACTATCAAAGGATAAGTCCTTTAATAGAATGTCACAGTTGCAGATGCTTCCTTGGTATCCTGGGATAGGGAATGGAGTGACAAATAGCTACCTTATATTGATTTTTTTTTTTAATGCTAGCACATCACATGATTTAATGCTTGCACAGATGATGAAAAAGGCTCACAGAAGTTGCAAAATGCCCAAAGTGACCTACCTATTAGTAGGCTCAGCATCCCAAACCTAGTGTCTTTTGTTCTGAAACTCATGTTCTTCTTGTGAAACCCCTTTCTTTCTTTCTTTCTTTCTTTCTTTCTTTCTTTCTTTCTTTCTTTCTTGTTTTTTNGCCTCGAACTCACAGAGATCTGCCTGTCTCTGCCTCCCGAGTGCTGTGATTAAAGGCGTGCGCCACCACCGCCCCTTTCTTGTGAAACCCCTTTCTTGTAACAAGAACCTTACTATTGTTAGACATACAGACTTTAACCTCATGTAGTGCAGGAGCTATGTAGCCAAAGGTGACGTGCTCTCTTGATGAAATCTTTTAAGGTGAGGTTGCCCAACAGACAGTTCCCACCTGCTTAGCCACCCACTGGATTTGTCTTTCTGTCGTCCCCTATGACTCCTCTGTGCAGCAATACTCAGCAGGAGAGTGAGTGACTTTGAATCTACCTGAGGGCCTGAGAAAAGAACTCTTAATGACCACTTTGTACAGAAGCCCAGTGGGCAAGTGAGATGCTCAGCCTAAGGATGCCAGAGGACATGTCCTGTCTATTCTGATTCTCTTTTAGAAGTCTCATGGGATTAAACCTGGTCACCATCTTTAGTTTCTGTACTGTTAAGGAGCTGAATGGAATGTTCCCTGTGTTGTGTCATTTACAGACCTCCCCAATGATCCACGAGTTAGATCAGCCTGAGATGGCACAAATGTCTTTGGCATTTTTCTCTGCTCTTCCAACCTTTTTTTTTTTTTAAATATGGAACGCTTCACGAATTTGCGTGTCATCCTTGCGCAGGGGCCATGCTAATCTTCTCTGTATCGTTCCAATTTTAGTATATGTGCTGCCGAAGCGAGCACTCCCAACCTTTTTTTAACAGTGTTTATGAGGCAGCATCCAAAAATGGGTTAGGCTTCTATGTGGAAGATGGACTTCCTGGGCCCAAATCTGCTTGAGTTCTCTACAAGCAGTCTAGAACTAAGGGTACGTTAGGAAAGACTTCCAGTACACAGCTTTGTTTTAGGTTGGAAAAAATGGCTCCTGGTCTAGATTATCTGTGACTACTCTTAACCAGATAAAAAGCATTTGATGATGCCGTCCTGAACCCAGTCCCACTTCAGCTGTGAGCTTGAGCTGAAAGGTGTGTGTCTTGCTATACAGGCATCCAGTGCCAGTCCCTGCTGCTGTTGCCAGTGCTGCCATCAGATCTGGGCACCTTTACACTCTTAGAGAGTGAGGCTTCAGAAAATTCCAACAGTGACTCAGCTGAAAATCTAGGGACCTGGCATAGAGAGAAGGGTGAAAGTGGGGAAAGTTAAAATCAGTCTAAAAATATTACTGCTGATTTGGTCTCTTCTCTGAAACGGCATTAATGAGCTGGAACCTTCTGCCAGAGTGGGTTGTAAAGGGACAGTCGGGTTACTTAAGGGCATCTGACTTTGGGTCACAGTTTCCAGAAACTTGGCTCATTCTGTGGCCTAAAAGAGACCTCAAACCAGCTCAATTCAGATTCTTGCCTATTATTTACATTCGTTCTAGCCCCATTGCTTCATCAGCTGTGCATTTGCTCCATTAAAAATATAAGTGTGTTTACCTAGATTTGTCTATAACAAAATAGTAATGAACTTTGGGTAGTTTAAAGCAGATTTATTCACTTAATCAAACTGTTTTTATATTACAGATTTGTCCTTTGCCCAGTGATACAATAATGTCTTTTTGTGTATGTGCAACCTTATCCTGTAATGTCTGAGCTGTCTTTTGCAGCACCTGTCTTGCCTTCTTTAAACTTATCTACCTGAAGCAGTAGGCCTTAGCTCTCTTTGTTTCTGTTCAGTGTGAGCTTTTTGCAACATGCAGCTAGTTCTGGCCATTACTTTCCTAAAAGTATTTTATTCCTTGTCATTTTTTAAAATATTCTTTATTGTTCATGGTACTGTGTTTCTCTGCCTCTCTGATTCTTCCTCCACTCCCACACAGTGCTTTTAGAAATTAGACTCTTTGTGAAATGTCCTGTATAGTCACTTTGG